GACCGACCGATTTCCTCTTGGCTGAATCCCTGAGGTAGTCGATTGTCTTGCTCCCATTTCACAGGTGATGGCATGGAAGTGAGCCACATAAGCCGTCAAAGTGGAACTGGAGTTGGGCACAGGGGTCATAAGAGAAACAGATGCAAACCTTCACACATACATGTTGTCCACGTCACCCTGGACAGCAAAGAAACAACCAAGCCCAACATCGGCCAACCGGTAAGCAGTTAAACCTGGTACCATCAGGGAGGGGAGGCGCCCAGCTGCCTCCAGGACTGATCACCTCCAGGAAAGAACAGGAGCCAAGAGGCTGATGCCCACAGTGGCTCTGGTGCTGACCCGGGTCACACTGTGCCTCATTAATATACAGCATGTCGGTGTCGGGACTTCAGAGTGCTCACCACCGGCGTCTTAGTTCCGTCCTTTGTAAAGCGGTCTCGAAAATTGCTGCTGAGCCTCTGCTGAGAGGCAGAGTGTTCCAGACAATGGCCGCTAACAACCGTGTCCACCACTTCCGCCACGTCCAGCTCCCTGAACCACTGTTTTCTTAATAATCTTTGTCTTTCAGATGTTCAAATAATTTACTCAAATAGGACATCACTACCATAAATACTGTCAGTATCACTTGCCACCGACTCTATTAACAATAAAAATTCTAAAACAATGTAGATAAAATACTAAATTATATCTAGATACTGTTGCCTGCTGAAGGTGAAGAGCCTGTAATCCTATTCTCTTTATATTTAAAAAAAAAAAGAGAGAGATTTGTGTTAGAGAGGTGATAAATACAGACCAACACCAAACTGAGACTCCTCATTTGATATCATTGGGATGAAAGAATGTTGGAATCAAATAAATTTTCACTATGTGATTCAGGATTTCGTAATTGAAGTGAACGTCAAGCACCACAACACAGCACCTGGCACGTTCCATGTTGGAAAACATTGCCTTGAATCATCCACGGGTGGTTAGGATGAGGCCGTGTAGATAATTATCACAGCAGCTCCCACTATCGGAATCTTTACTAGAGCAATTGTACGTATACTGTCTCCAATTTTCACCGACATTGTCAAAGGTAGCTACTATCTCACCTCATTTTATAGATGAGAAAACTGAGACTCGTAGAAATAAATCATCTCGGATTACAAAGTCATTCAGTGGCAGATCCTGATTCTAAGTCAAGTCCTTCTGAGGTTGGAGAACCTTAGGAAGTCTAAGGAAGAGCAGCAGAGATGCTTCCATACTGTTAATGTTGGCAGGAAACAGAGCAATCACTTTGAAAAACCATTTATTCATAAAGCTACACCAACAAATGCCCTGTGACATATGAAATTGATAGCTCTTAGGTCCCGTCCAGAGAAGCGGGCGCACATCTCAACCCAGAGACTGTACACAAATGTTCACAGCAGCTTCATTCAGATAGACAAAGACTGCCAACAGCCTAAGTGTCCACCAAAAGGCCGAGAGAGAACAAATGGAGAGCAAAAGAATACTACTCCGCAACAGGGGCATCAACTACTGCTGCAGGTGGATGAACTTGAACAGCGTTCTACTGACTGAAAGGGGAAGAGTATGTACTGGGCTGGGGCTGGGGCTGGGGCTCAGTGGTAGGGTGCTTGCCTAGCATGCATGAGGCACGGGGTTCCATCCACAGCGCCACATAAAAATAAATAAAATCAAAAGTTATAAAAAAGAGTATGTACTCTTTCATACCATTTACAACAAGTTCAAGAACAGACACTCTTCTCTCTAGAGCGATAGAGGCCAGAACAGGAGTTAACTCTGGAGGGGAGACTCCCCAGGATTAGGGCCCCGCACACCTTTCTGAGGGGAAGGAATAAATTTGATCCAAAGATAGACATTATGTCTACATGGTGCTTGTACAGATATGGAGAGAGATAAAAATCAACCAAATTGTATCTGTAAGATTCATGCACTTTATTCTATGTAAAGTATACTTCAATCAAGTACTGGCAGGAAAGTCTACATGTCTCTATACAAAAGCAAATGCCTCCAGTTAGAACTCTAAGGGAGTTTACAAATTTCCTTAGAATTCCACTGCATCCCAGAGTGGAAGAGTGTCTACGTTCGCTTAATTAAGATGTCGTTGCTTTGCTGGGCAAAGTGGTGCACACCTGAAATCCCAGCTCAGGAGGCTGAGGCAGGAGGATCTCAAGTACAAAGCCAGCTTCAGCAACTTAGTGAGGCCCTAAGCAACATAGTGAGACCCTCTGTCAAAATAAAAAATAAAAAAGGGCTGGGGATGTAGCTCAGTGGTTAACCACCTCTGGATTCCATCCCCAGTACCCCCCCACACACACACACAAAAAGATTTCTTTGCTTTAAACTCTAGTCTTAGACAGGATTACCTCAAACTAAAAGGCAGCTTCTAAATAAGTAAAGGAAACTATCAACAGAGTAAGGAGACAATGTACAGAATGCAAGAAAATATTTATAAACTATTTATCTTCCAAGGGGCTAACACCCAAAAAACATGAGAAATACAAACAACTCACTAGCCAAAAAAATTCAAATAACTAAATTTTAAAAGGAGTATTAGACTTTAACCAAAATTTCACAAAAGAAGACATACAGATGAATAAGAGTCCATGAAAAAATAAGACTTAATATCTCTAATCATCAGGGAAATTAAAATTACAATAATACCTCACCCCAATAAGAATGGCTATTATAAATAGACCAAAGATAACAAGGTGTGGTGAGGATGCGGAGGAAAGGGAGTCTTTGCACACTGTTGTTGGGAACATAAATTAGTACAGAAATCCTGGAAAACACTATGGTGCTTCCTTGAAATTTTAAAATTAGAACTACCAGTGATCCAGCAATCCCAATACTGTGCAGATATCCAAAGGAAATGAAATCAATCTATCTGAAAGATATCTGCACACACATGTTCATTTCAGCATTATCCACAACAGCCAAGAAATGGAAACAACCCAAGTACCTACCAATTGATGAATGGAGAAAGAAAATGTGATACATATACCCAATGGAATACTATTCAGCCATAAAAAAGACAGTAGCCATATTGTTGACATTTGCAACAGTAAAGGATAGAGACCATTATGTTACATGAAGTAAGTCAGGCACAGAAGGACAAATATTGAATGATCTCACCCATTTGTAGAATATAAAAATGTTGATATCACAGAAGATAAGAGTAGAATGACAGTTCATCGAGACTGGGAAGATGAGGGGAAAGACAGGAATGGGGAAAGGTAGATTAAGAGTTACCTGGGAGCAGGAAGTTCTGCTGAGCTGTTGCACAGTAGAGTATCTACAGATATCAGTAATGTACCGTGCATTTCAAAAAGCTGGAAGAAAGGATTTTGAATGCTTTTGACCATAAATAAATGATAAATGTTGGAGGAGATAAATGTTCCACATGATTTAAACATTATACAAAGTACTCCAGTGCTAACATATCATACGATATCCCCCATCATATGTGCTATTTTCTGGTTTTATGCATCAGTTAAAAGTACATTTAATTTAAATTTTGAAAATCATCATAATAAGTGAGCATAGACCCCAGCCTTGGGCCTCTTTCCTCATCCCACCTCCTCTCGGGAGCTTTTACTAGACTGGAGTCCTGCCTGACTCATCTTTCCACTCAGTTCCATCTTCCATTCAGCCACGTACACAGCAGTTCTCAATAAATATTTGTTAGATTGATTTTTTTATTTCAAAGTCTATTTAAATAGTTACGATAGTTCAATGAAGAGTTAAAATCAAACTGAAAATCCACAGGGGCAGCTTTATTCCCAGTTCCCTCCCCACGTCCACAGCCTCCAATCCAGCTACGGGGGCAGCAGGGTTGAAAGGCAGAACTAGTCAGGTCTTCAGCTAGACTGTCCTCTAGCTTGGTGCAAACAGCCCCTAAAGAGGAGTTTGATTTGCAATTATTGAACCACGGAAGATGGGGACAGAAGAGCGACGGTCAAGCTAGATTGCTGATGGAAAGCCCATGGCAATAGGAGAAGAGGAAAAGGAACCCTTCAGTCCCAGGCGCTAGTGGACTTCATTCCCTGGCAAGAAAGAGCAGCTGAGTTGATAAACACTAGACCTCGAGCTCACGACAGTGAACTCAGGAAGACCTCCCTTGTGCACATGACCCCCGCGCTGTAGCTGCAGCCGTGCACCTGGGGCCAGGCATGTGGAAAAGAGGGTCCTGGTGAAGGAGCCCGGGAGGGGCGATCCTGGCTGAGCCGTGGTCTTAGACTGGCCCACGGGGTGCTCATCTGAGTTTTCAGGTGACCACTGAAACCCGACTTGATGGTTCTAGGGCCAGATCCCTACAGATGGGCGCCCAGCAGTATTCAAAGCCACGGTCCAGTACTGGCTTCATCCATCTCAAAGAACATTCGGATCATTACAAGGCCCTGACCTGGGACCCAGGGTGAAGACTGGGGTCAGGGGAGAAAATAGGTGCTGCACTATCCTTTTTTTTACATTGAGTCTTCTTTGGCACCTATTCCCAACATAGACGTCTATTTTCCTTTATGAAGAGCCTGGTGTTGGAGTCATTTAATAATATTTGACATCTGTCATGCACTACATGTAGGTACTGTAACAAGCAACTTATATTATCTCATGTGATCTTGACAACACGCCTAGGAGTAGATATCAGTCATGTTTTATAGGCAGGGAAACTGAGGTGCAGATAAATTTGACAAAGGTGACTGGCCAGTGAGAGAGATATGAGACCAGCTTCCCTGATTTCAGAGCCCAATTATGTTAGGAAAGATTGAAATAGATTACTTCTCCCCATCCTAAATTGCTCAGGTAACTGCAGGAGCCAATGGGGATTTCCGTTACTTAGAAATAGAAAGATGGAAAGTCTATTAGAGACCAAACCATGACTTTCCCTTCACCATCAGAAATGAAAAATAACCCTAGTTCCTGGGATACGTCAGTAGGATAATGAAAGTTTCTGTTGGAGAATAAAACTGAGGGAGCCATCTCATTACCAAACCAACCTCGCATGCTCAGCTTGTCAGAGGACACCGGACTTCCAAGGGAAGACAAGGCTTCTCACATCTCCATAATGCATCATTCAATTTTCACTGAAGAATCCTCCCCTGGAATTACATAAGGAATAGAAATTGTTCAGATTTCCTGATTTGTATTCTGAGCACTTCCCTATATAAATCCAGGGGAAAAAAAATCACAAAGTGAACTTACATCATCTCCCCTTACACGGAAACAAATGAAAGTCCCTGTGCTCTCTCTGCTTTGCCTGGGGAATTCAGCAGCGTCTACAGCACTCATTTCATTACACACCTTGCAAGAGTCTCACCATGATAATCATTTAGAGCACCTCAGGTTAACACAGTTCTTTTTTTTTTTTTTCCCCAAGTGCTTCTGGCCACCTGAGCTAGAGTGGTTCAGCCCTCAGCATACAACTGCTTTGGCTCCAACCGAATCTCTCCACCTTCCATTTGACTAAGAACTGTCCTGCATCTAACGCTGCTGCCTGAGAAGTAAGGTAAAAATGCATGTCGAATCGCCCACTGCATAAAGATGGGAATTTGTACTTGTTCTATCACAAGGTGCAGAGAGAGAGAGAGAGAGAAATGAAGCACAGAACCAAGAAGCCATCACATAAGCAGAGTAGTGGTCACCACAGAGCATAAGACCTCAGGACACCTGGCCAACTCTTTTAACCACAGCTCTTTTTACCCACTCCCCTTCCTGGTACCCCAAATCCCACCACTAAGAATGCATGTGTTTCCATTAAGAATGAAAATGAATGCTAGCTGAACTTTTACTACATGGCAGACGTCTTCTGTTTCTCAAAACAGCTCAGCCAGGATCATGCTCTTCATCGTGTATATGAGGAAGCTCGGACGCTCTGGTTTGTCCAGATTACATGGCTGGCAAACAGCTAAAACAGAATTTGATTGAACCTTTGAACTCCAGACTTTGGTCCCAGAGAACATACAGTTTCCATTGAGTTGCACACTATTGAGGAGTTAGCAGTAATTTCACACTAGTGTAAATGAGTAAAAATCCAATCTTTTCTAAAGAAATACAATGAGATCCAACATGGTGGCATGGGAGAATGTAGAATGGAAATAAAGACTGTTCCTATGAACAATTCCCAGAGACCCTGAACAGATGGCTTCCTGGTGGCATAGAGTGAGAAGTGGGCATGTAAAGATTGGTCTTGATTCCAACTGAAGAACTCTCAGTAGAAAATGGTACCAGGAGTGGGGTCTAAGTACAACTCAATAGAACATGAACATCACCTTTGGCTCACTCTTCCCCCACTCTCCAAGTCCAATTAGCCACCCCATCACCAATTCTTCTTTTCCACCTATGCTTCAAATTTCTCCACCCTAAAATAGCCCTTCTACGAAGTTTAGATCCTCACTGATTCCTGTCAGGCTCTCATTTCCTCTAAACCATCTTATCAACTATAGACAGAATGACTAGTATCTATAGAATTAAACCCAGGTTTCTTTTCCTTGCATAAAAAGTGCATTATTATTTCACCCTCCTCACCACCCCAGTTTTCAAATGCATTTCACACCAGCTTCTCCCTCCTTGGGTATAATCTAGAGTTATGAAGATTCTTACTGTTCTGTCCAGTGTGACAGGCTGTTTCAGGCCTATGTCTTTCCAAACACACACTATTTTGCTTGTCTGAAATGCTCTTCACATCTACTTTTTTAAACTACTTTATTCAAATGTTATTGACATGCAAAAATCTGTATCTTTTTAACAAATGAATCTTGATGAGTTTGGTGATAAGTATATACCTATGAAACCATCTCCATAATCTAAGCCAAAACATAGTTATCACCTTCAAAAGATTCCTCCCACACTATTATTGTGCGTGTGTGTGCACACATATGATGGGAACAATTAACATGATCCACCCTCTTAACAAATTATTGAGTATACGATATAGTATTGTTAACTATAGGCAGAAGGTCTCTAGGACTCATCATCTTGCATAACCAAAATTTTGTACCCCGTCTTAATATCTCCCATTACTCTTCCCCCAATACAAGCCCTTGACAACTACCAGACTACTCTCTGCTTCTATGCATCCAGCTATTTTAGATTCCTCACATTAGTGGAATCATGTAGTTTTTGTCCTTCTGGTTGGTTTATTTCCCTTAGTATAATGTCCTCCAGGTTCATCCATGTTGTTTCAAAAAGCAGGATTTTCTTCCTTTTTGGAGCTGTATTCTATTCTATTATGTATACCACCTTTTCTTTATCCATTCATGGACATTTAGCTTGCTTCCACATCTTGACTACTGGAAATAATGTGGCAATGAACATGAGAGCACAGATTATCTCTTCAAAATCTTTTGAAGAAATTCCTTTGGCTTTATGTCCAAAGGTGAAATTGGTAAATCATTTGTATGGTTGTTCTGTTTTTAATTTTTTGAGATACCGCCATACTTTTTTGCGTAGTGGCTGTACCAATTCCCACCAACAGTGTACAAAGCTTCCCCTTTCCCCAAATTGGTATCAACATTTGCTATTTTGGGTTTTTGTTAAACAAATCCTAATGGGGTGTGATAGTATCTCATTGTGATTTTGATTGGTATTTCCCTGATGATGTACACTATTTGACTTATCTGTTGCCTATCTGCATATCTTCTTTGGAGAAATATCTATTCAAGTGCTCACTTTGGCAGCACAACTACTAACATTGGAACAATACACAGAGGATCAGCATGGCCCCTACACAATGATGCCATGCAAGTTCGTAAAGCGTTCAATGTTTTTATACACTCTACTGTCATGTATATCTAAAGAACAGATTTTAAAAGATATATATATTTTTTTAAAAAAAGAAATATCTCTTCAATTCCATTGCCTATTTTTAATAGGATTATTTAGGGGTTTGGTTTTTTGTTTGTTTGGTTAGTTTTGGGTTTGTTTGACTTGTTTTTGCTATTGAGTTTATAGAAATTCTTTACATATTTTAGGTATGTAATCCTTTACATATTTATTAGACATATGTTTGTAAATATTTTCTCCCATTCCATTGTGTTTTCACTTAATTGATTGTTTCCTTTGTGGTACAGAAACTTACCATTTAATACAGACTTAACTATTTTTGGCCTTTTTCTTGGTGTTGTTGGATATACATAGGGCATTTTTGAAATATTCTACATATATGGGGTGCAACCCATTACAATTTTTATTCTATTCTTGTGATTGAACATAATGTAGAGTTTCACTGGTCATGTATTCATATATGAACATAGGAAAGTTATGTCTGACTCAGTCCACTGTCTTTCCTATTCCCATCCCCCTTCCCTTCCCTACATTCCCCTTTGTCTAATCCAATGATTTTCTATACCTCTCCTCCCTATCCTCCCTTGTTATGGGTAAGCATCCAGATATCAGAGAGAGCATTTAACCCTTGTTTTTTTTTGCAGGGGGACTGGCTTATTTCACTTAGCATGATATCCTCCAGTTCCATCCATTTACCATCAAATGCCATAATTTCATTCTTCTTTATAACTGAGTAATATTCCATTGTGTTGCCTGTGATTTTGAAATCAAATTCACGAAATTGTAGCCAAAACCAATATCAAAAAGTGTCTTCCCCATGTGTTTTCTTCTAGAAGTTTTGTGATTTCACATCTTATGAATAGGTCTTCAATGCATTTTAGTTGGTTTTGTGTGTGGTATAAGATAAGGATCCAGCTTCATACTTTGCATGTGGATGTCCAGTTTTCCCAACACTGTTGAAGGCCTGTCCTTTCCCCATTCCACTTTGTTGGCACTTTACTGAACGTCAGCTCACTGTACATGCAGGGGTTTATTTTTGAGCTCTCTATTCTGGCCACTGGTCTGTAGGCCACTGTTTTTATGCCAGTACCATTACTGCCTTGATTACTATGGCTTCATAATCAGTTTTGAAATCAGGGAGTGTTCTGCCTCCAGCTTTGTTCTTCTTGATCAAAATAGCTTTGGCTATTAGACGTCTTTTGTGCCTCCACAAAAATTTTAGGATTGTCTTTTTCCATTTCTATTAAAATGCCATTGGAATTTTGAATGAGATTACATTGAATCTGTAGATCACTTTGGGTAGTAAAGAAGTTAACAGTATTAATTATTTCAACTCTCAAACGAGGAATGTCTTCCCATTTGAATTTGCATTAATTTCTTTCATCAGCATTTTATATTTTTCAGTGATTGAACATAATGTAGAGTTATTTTTTGAGATGCTGCCTTACTTTTTTTGCATAGTCCACCTCCTTTGTTAATTTTATTTCTAAGTGTTTTCTTCTTTTGATGATACGTGAATGGGATTGTTTTCTTAATTTCCTTATTGGATAGTTTGGTGCCAGTATAGAGATATGCAGTTGATATTTCTATGTTGTTTTGCATCTTGCATCTGAATTCGTTTCCTTCCACCCTGTCTACCTAGAGAGCTCCTACTCCTTCTTTAAGCCGCCTCCTGCAAGGAACCTGTGTTACCAAAGCTCCTTACTTCCTTCTCAGTGCTACCTCCAAAACTTGTAGGAACTTAGAAAGTGTTTCACACTGTGCCCCTCATAAGCACTCCGTGAGTTGTTGTATGGCTATTATGATCTTGTTGCAGTGTGTCATTACTTATTTGTCTGTAAGTTCACCTCCACTACTTCCTTATAAGCAGTTTCCAAATGGGGACTGATTACTATTTATCTTTGTATGCTCACTGTCTGAGTATAAAACCCTGCACAAAGTAGGTATAGCAAGAAGAGAAGGTTCAGAACAGCTGTTTATTCAATTCCCCTTCATCCGGCTCGAGAGAAGGGACAATAATCTTATAGGAACCCGGGTTCCAGGACCATGATTCAGCCATGGCTACCAGTGATGAGGGTCACTCTTCCTCTGCCTGGTCCATCCAAGAAGCCACATCAAGTCATCTTGGGTCCTTTCCTCATACACATCCTAGGTAATGCTCATCATTTTTTCTGGTAGCATATGTTAAGATTTAGGGGTTCAAAGGCTAATGGAGGTCCCTAGATTTTTTAATATGAGGCCACATATTTATTTCAGCCCACTTTGCCAGCAAATTCTAAAATTATATCTCTAGGCAGAATCTTAGCAAAACTATGAAACAGAACCTTTTTGTTTTGATTTCATGTGACTATTTCACTGTAGAAATCTTGTGAAAGAAACCACTATGGTGTGGGGAAGGGTTCCCAAAACTGCGTGTCCATGATGCCTTTTATTTTATGCCCCATGACAGCACCTTGGTCCCGCCATTGCTTGCTGAGATGAGGTGCCCGCCAAAGGCTTGTTAATTTGCATTTTTCAGGAAGCAGGGTTGACACTGTCCCACAAGGACAGCACGTGCCCTCAACACGGAAAGACCAAGAACGCCCAACGTCTGCCCGAGCCAACTTCACCGCCTTGCTCCCAGCCTGCCGTTCCTGTATCTAAAACAGATTTCAGAGGTTTAATTCTTAAGAAAGATTAATAATATATCAGAAACATGAAGGCAACAGG